TTAGGTTTTCCTTGTGAGACTTGGACTTTGTGGGGATCAAAAACTGGGTTCTAAAATTAAAGATGATTACACTCTTCAAAATGCATTGTTAACATGGTTTAATGTGGTTGAGTGCACATGAAAACATCATCATTTTGAGATATTAAAAAAATAACAACTGACTTTTTTGGTAGGCTGTCTTTTTTAAAACAACCTGTGAGTTTTCAAGGCTATTCAAAGATCATAAGTGATCCTCAAAATGATATTGGAGATATTTTTCCAAAATGTGATTACAACAACTGAGTGGAGGTATCGGCATACCTTTCAGTCAGTGGTTCTCAACACTGGCTGTAAGTTAGAATCTCTCTGAGGTCTTAACTCTGCCTTATGCTTTTCCTGGGCAGTGGCACCGCTCTTGCTGCTCATGTGTTGCTGCAAACGAAGACAACCAGAAGGGCTGGGAACAAGATTTGCTCCTGTGCCAGAAGGAGAAGGAGTGATGCAGTCTTGGAGAATAGAAGGGGCACGTCCAGAAGACAGGGTGAGCAGACTGTTGCTTTCCAGGGAAACACAGTGTTTCAATGGAAACTGAACATGTCTTAACAAATATACATTGCACAAAATAAGTAGATGTCAATTTTTAAATGTTTAACATAAAGCATTTATTTAAAAAAAATTTTTTTTTTCTTTTCAGGATGTCTCAAGTATATGTGTACCAATGACAGCCTCTAATACCCAGGATCGTATAGATTCTTCTGGTCAGTGGACACCAAAATCTGTTTTTCTTTTTAAAACTTGCAAAATTATTCAACAAAACCAACCTCATGAAAAAATGTTTTGTAGGAAAACAGCATATGCATTAATTTCCTTGGATAATAGTGTAATCAAAGGAAAAATTGCATGTTTGAAGTGGGCACTTTATTTTTCTATCTTAAACTATAGGCAGTGAGGTATGGTGTAGCAATTAAGAGGAAAAATTCTGGAACCAGAGTGCTTGGGTTTGATTCCCAGCCCTGCCACTTATTAGTAATAAGTCCTCGGGCAGGATACTTAACCTCTCTGTGTCTCAATTTCCTTATCTTTGAAAGTGAGCTAATGATAGTACCTCCTTCAAAGCATCGTTGTGAGGACTGAATGTGTGTTTGTGTGTGTGTGTGTGTGTGTGTGTGTGTGTGTGTGTGTATTCATTGCACAAAATATACATTAGAATAGTGCCTGGCACAGAGTGTTACTTAAGGATACTGTAGCTGTTACTAGTAATACAAGATGTTCAAAAAAAAAAAAGTGAAGGGGAAGAAGAAGAGGAGAAGTAGGAAGAGAAAGAAAAGAGGAGAAGAAGGAAAAGCAAGGGGAAAGGAACTAATATATTTTCCTAATAATACCCTGAAGAACATTTCTAAAATTCACACATGCATTCGCTTCACCAGTCCTATACTCTCCTTACTTACCAGTCCATTCCCATCTAGGGAATACAAGAAGACACTCAGCTATCAGGCAGTGGTTGAACAAAGTAGAGAGGTTGCCAGTTCTAGGAAAGACATGAGATTTCTTAATGATGGTTCCTCAGTCTCCCAAGGCTGACCCAGTGCAAAGAACATAAGGTGAATGAATTCCTTAAAAAGGCCAGCTCTCCATCCCAGTGCCAGGGTGAATGAGGACTGAGTTTTGGTTTCTGCAAGCACATCACTGGTCTTGTTTTGAAGGGTCTTGAGTGGATACAACCCCTTTCCAATGGGCCCTGGTAGTTTGTCAGAGACAG